AACAGCCCTTGTTTTCTAAGAAGTACCCTTCAAAGAAGCAAAACAAGCTGCAACCTTATATTTTCATCTCATGCCATGTGCACTAGCCCCAGGGGTCCCAGGACAGAACATGGATGGGGCTACTGGTTTCCATGAGGTCACGTGGCCCCAGGGGTCCCAGGACAGAACATGGATGGGGCTCCTGGTTTCCATGAGGTCACGTGGCCCCAGGGGTCCCAGGACAGAACACGGATGGGGCTCCTGGTTTCCATGAGGTCACGTGGCCCCAGGGGTCCCAGGACAGAACACGGATGGGGCTCCTGGTTTCCATGAGGTCAGGTGGCCTTAGGGGTCCCAGGACAGAACACGGATGGGGTTCCTGGTTTCCATGAGGTCACGTGGCCCCAGGGGTCCCAGGACAGAACACGGATGGGGCTACTGGTTTCCATGAGGTCACGTGGCCCCAGGGGTCCCAGGACAGAACATGGATGGGGCCCCTGGTTCCCATGAGGTCACATGGCCCCAGGGGTCCCAGGACAGAACACAGATGGGGCTCCTGGTTCCCATGAGGTCAGGTGGCATGATGCTCCATATCGCTCATTTCCTGCCTGGGTATTCCAGACAAGCATTTAAACTTTCTGTCAAGTTTAGGGTGATAATGCTTACACGGTAGAGCTATTGTGAAAATGGAATTAGATAATGTATGTAAATGTTCTGGGAACAGAGTAGCTATTTGATCAATGTCAGTTCTTTATGCCAACGTGCCCCTCCCGCAACCAAGTTCCTCCTAAAAAGTAGCCTCTCTCGTAGGATCGTGGCCTCTTCACTTGATGGTAATAAATCTTGCCTTTCAAATCAATTACAGACAGAGCACTTTACAAGATGCAAAATGCTCTTCTCTCCATTATCTCATTTGAGTCTCATAACCACGGGGCATGTCTCCCCCGGAGATGAGGGACGAAGGCTGAGATGAGGTGCCCTGCGAAGTTGCACGCAGCAGTTAAGAAGGCTTCCTCTGTGAGCTGGGAAGCTGGGACGGTTCTCTCTCACTTGCAGAGGAAGGAGTTTATAAACACACAAGCTCTGATATTTCCTGGGGGTCATTAGGGCAGCCGAAGCTAAAATCTAATCAGGAATTTTTCCAGACCCGCCCGGCTCTGCCCAACCAGTTCTAAGTGTCAGGTCATTGGAACAAGAAATGGGACTTGGAAGAAAAATGAAGACCAGGGACTGGGAACTGCCAGATTATGGGAGGACAGATGAACATTTTCTGGAAGCCATCATGCATGACAAGTGAAACACTTTTAAGTCAATAACAGGTCACTTCTCCTCAATTCGGAGGAGTGTGGTGCCGAGGAAGGCGGTGGGCTTTGGAGTTACACCCATATGGTGCAAATAGCAGCCTGTAACTTTGGGTTCTTAGGCCTTGAGCTCCTCTGTAAAATGTGGACAGGACCATTGAGAGAGCGAAATGGCAGAGCAGTGGGCTTTGGAGGCTGAGCCCTGGGTCTTCCACCTGCTGAGAGGCCCTGGCCAGTTTACACAGTCTCTGCACTCTACTTTCCTCCTCTGTAAAATGGGACAACAGTGACCCCCTCAGAGTTATAGTGAGGACTGAATGAAAGGTGGGCAGAAAAGAACTAAAAAGAAGAGATGGGGTAGCGTGGCCATGTGGCTCCCTCTGCTGCGTGCCAGTGTGTGACCTTGAGCTAGCGACATCCTCGTGTGTGACCTTGAGCTAGCGACATCCTCGTGTCTCAAGCTCCTCGTCTTAAAATGGGAATAATAGTAATCATATGTGCCTTGTGGGTTTGGAAATAGGATTAAGTGAGAAATGATATGTAAAGTGTTTAGATGAGCACCTGGCACCTAACAAGTGCTCTATAGATGCTCATTGTTGCCAGCTTAGATGGTTTTTCCTTTCCCTTCCTCATGTCTGTAGGATTCCTGCTCCTGTCTGGGTGAAGGGAGTCTGCACTGAAGGCTGACAGAGAGACTGAGCGGGGCTGGCGAGGCCTCTGTGTGCCCAGAACTCCGGCCTGCCTCCTCTCCACGGCTCCGGCCTCGGGCCCTGCCTCCTCAGCGTGGCCCAGGGGCCGGTGGGGCCCCGTTTCGGAGCTGGCTTTGCGGCCAGGCAGCCCTAATCTGTCCCTTGAGCCACACCGGAGTCTCATTAAAACGTGCCCCATAAATGTTAAAAAATTTACACATAAAAAAATTCCATGCATGAAACTGAAACCATAGGTTTTACAGCCTCGGTTTGAAATCTTGCATAATATATAAAACCTTGGCCCTGCACTGGGGGCCCGTAAATCAGATTTTATAAAACAAAAAGCTTCTACTTTTCAAAGGGGTTTGGGGAACTTGCAAATTTTACAAACTTTACCAACTGCCAGTCAGAGGGGGTTGGACCCGAGCGGGGGACCGGGGGGCAGGTAAGAGAGAGGCCTGGTGAGCACAGGGCGGGAGTGGGAACTGGCGTGGAGAGTGGCTATGGCACTAACTGGGGGCATCCCAGCCTAGCCACCAGCGTCGGAAGGGGAGGTAGAGAGGGTCAGAGTGTGGGGATTGGGGGAGACCTGGTGGGGGTCCTCTTTTTTAAAAATATATTTTTATTGATTTCAGAGAGAGGAAGAGAGAAGGAGAGATGAAAACCTCAATGATGAAAGAGAATCATTGATTGGCTGCCTCCTGCACGCCCCCTACTGGGGATCAAGCCTGCAACCTGGCATGTGCCCTGATGGGGAATTGAACCCTGACTTCCTGGTTCATTATGTCCAAGCTCAATTGCTGAGCCACAGCGGCTGGGTGGGGGGTACTCTTACGAAGTAGGACTCTATTGTCCCAGGGAGAAGGGAGGGGGTGATGCAGTGGAGGGAGAGCATATGAGGAGCCATAGGCTAGTCCTGGTCCTAAAGTAATTTCCCTTCTCTGGACTGTGCTGTCTCATCTGTACATGGACTTGCTTCTCTCCACAGCTGTGTCTCGTCGTGTGCAGTGGGAGCAGCTGGCTCCCAGGAAGGGCAGTGCCCTCAGAAACTGCAGTCTGGGGACCTCTCTGGTCTTTGGGCAGCTCCAGGAGAGCTCAGTCAGCGTTCCCATGGGAACTTGTCCAGGACACTTTCTGGGAGGAGGGGAAGGTACAGCATGCAAATTGGTGTTGTTTTTTTTTTTGGGGGGGGGGAGGGTCGCGCGCAGCTAGAGGTGGGAGGAGTCATGCCCAGTGGTGGGCTTGGTGGGGCTGGGGGGACACGGAGAGGGATCAGAGCTCGAGATCCCAGGGTGGGACAAAGTTTTGGGGACCTCCGTGTCCTCCTGACAATTTCATCTGTGAAAGTCAATATTCAAGGGCAGAAGAAAGCCGCCCTGACACGCACATATATATAAAATAAATCTCTCAATTATCTCAGCTCATTTGCTCGGGGTCTCTCATTTTATGTCCCTGCTCTGCTGCGCAGTATATCTGTCCGGATAAAGAGTTACAGTCCGTTGGGCTACGTGTGCGGGGTTGTAAAAAATACAGATGCCAGATTAACTGGCTGTGGCACTCGGCAGCTGATTGAGCTGATAATGACGCGATCTGACCTTTTTCTAATTTCTAATTATGTGCATCTTGGCTGCGCTGGCTACATGATTCCTGTTCTAATGATGGCTCCTGTGGTTGGCCTCTTCCTCCCCCTCCTGACTGCAAGAGGGCGCGAAGGGCACTGCTTGGCTCCCCAAGTAAAGTTTTGGGGAGGCGGGGCTGGGAGGCTAGAATGCCTTGGCGTAAGGATACTGCACTTGAGACTAACCTTCTGGATGGTATGCGTTCTTAAAGGCCATTTAGTTCCACAAGCCACCTCACTCGTGTTTTTTTTACAGTCACTGGGGATGGGTGTATTGGATCTACAGGCAAGGAAACCGAGCTTCGAAGGAGTGAAGTCAGCAAAGTCGCACAGACGGTGAACAGGGAAGCCAGCCCCGGGCTTTCATCTCTAGGTGCTCCTCCAACTGTCCCCATGGGAACAACTGACCCATCACTGGGGGACACCTTGTAAAGTAGATGGTTGTCTAACCACTATGCTGTATACCCGATAATAACACGAAATAATACTGAATGTAAACTGTAATTTAAAAAATTTTAAATCACAGAGAAAATAAAATAATTGATTGACCAATCTCCCAGCCACGACTGTGGCTACTCATCTGGGTAAATCAGGCCACGTGAGGGGTGGGATGTCCAAGGACGACTCCACCAACCAGACCACTCCCAGTCCGGTGACCTGAGGACTGGGGCCGCCGGAGGGCTGGGGCCGCTGGGGCAGCTTCTACAACACCCACTTCCCCTGGGCAGGCTTGGCACACGGCAGGCCCTTAACCAAGGTTTGTTGGACTGAATCAGAACTCTGAATATGTGAGTGAGCAGACCTGGAGACCCAGGGAGTGTTGGCAAGGGGAGCACGGAGCCAGACACTTGCTGGCATGTCCAGGCTGCACGGAGCAGCAGGCTACAGTGATGACCTGGGTAACACACTGGGTTTGAAAGCCTGATCTCCTGTGTCCCCCTAAATGGGCAGGACATCCGCTGGCCTCCTTCTCAACAGGACTGTGTCTCCAGGTCTCTCTACCTGCTGATGTGCTTGAATGTGCCTGTCCCCTCACCCTCCACACTGCAGCACACTGGCCTGGCGAATTACTAATGTGCCAGGACTTCAGCCCTCAGAACCACTGCCCCAGACATTCTGGGTGCCACGCCCCCCCTCCTCCTGTCTGCATGGCAAGAGGCTGGAGGGGATGCATGTGTGCAGCGGGCAGAGACCAGAGAAGGGGAGAGCTTAGGCAGTCAGACCTGTGCCTGCAGCTCTTGGTTTAGGGACCTTAGAAATGGTTCTCAGTGGCTAGAGGACCATCTCGTGCCTGGCCCACAGTGGCACACAACACCTTTTGCTGAATGAATGAAGAAAGGATCATTTCTAGGGCACTTGGAGGGACCACAGGGGATGGAGGACCTAGCCGGGGTGGGGAGGGAGGGTCTTTACCAGATTGTCCAGTTCTGGGTCATCGCTGAAGAAGGGTTTGTGCTCCTGCTCCTGCTGGTGGACAAAGTTCTCGATGTCCACGTCAAAGCTGGCGGAGGTGATGCACTCCGAGCCCTGGGTGGCCTGTTCACATTTCTCAAACAGCAGCGTCAGAAGCGGGAAAAGAGGGTGCCTGTGGGGACAGCAAGAGCTCACACATGCGCACAGAAACCTGCGGCTGGCTGGGCTCAGAAGCCATGAGGGCCCCTTCCCCATGCTCCCCGCACTTCTTCGCCCAAGGCCCCACTCCTGAGATCGCCCCCAGACCCCACGGTCAGGACAGATGGCAGCAGTTCACGCCCTGCTGGGAAGACCCAGTCTCCCATCCCTGGGCGTAGAGGGCGCTATCCTCCCCACCAGCGCCTGCCTCTTCTCTTTGGTAAGATAACCTGCATGGGTATCTGATGAGGGTGAGGGGTGTAACCCTTCAGAGAAGTAGGTGTCCCTTTCTGCTTTAAGGTCAACCCAGGAAGGAAGTGTGGGTAGTATCCAGACAAGTCCCGGACAGGAACATTAGCGGTTGGTCAGACACCCATTCTTGGCTGTCTGGAGCCAGCTGAGGGCAGTGCCTGTGTGTCTGTGAGTGTTTACAGGGGATGAGCGTGAGCCTGAATTCTGGTTGCACATGGCGGGCAGGTGTCTCCACCTGCTCTGCATCTGTTCGCTGACTCAGTTCAGGTCAGACACCCAATCACAGGAATATCACCTCCCTGCACTTTCCCATCATCCCACACCTAGCACATCCGTAACCACCTGATTATCTGCATCGTACTTGCTCACTGTTGTCCTCCAGGACCGACCCTGTCTTAATGAGCGTTGTATCCTTAGGGCCTTGCCCTGCATGCTCATAGCAGGGACTTAATACTCAGTGACGGACAATGAATTAGGGAATGAGGAGCATGTGAGTGAGCAGGTGGTATGTGTGTGATGTATTCTGTAAGCTGAAGGGCCTACCTCGCTGGCTCTGTGGGTCTCTGTGGAGACGCCACCCTCTCTGGGAAGTTCCTCTGACTGCCCCTCCCTCACACTACGCTGATGGCTCCCTGAGCTCTTTGCTTTATCACCTGCCTTCCTGACTAAAATATGAGCTGCATGAGGGCAGGAAGCAAGCCCACCTTATTCACCACAGTCTGTTCGGAGTCTAGAAGAGGCATGTGGACCCCAACAAATATTTGCTGAATGCATATATGTTATGCGTGCACACCTGTGTGCACACGTAAGTGCATATCACTCTTATTTCTCTGCAGCATGTGTGAATGACTATGTCTTAATTCCCAGTACGTGTGCATATGTTTGCACGGGTTGTTGACACTGGACCTAGAGCCCCCTTCCTTCCCATGGTGGTCCCCGAAAAGCATCTGCACCCTCCTCTGGTCTCTTTCTCAGTCCCCTGGGACCACACAATCTAGCTCTTTCTTTTTGATTAAGCTCTGCCTGCTGGGAGAGGAGGAAGCATGTGTCAGGCCTGGCCCCTGGGCCTCTGCGAGAGGGGCTGCTCCGGCCAGCACTGTCCAGTAACATTCCTGCCACGTGGACATGTTCTACATGGTCTGCCCTCCAACACAGAGCTACTAACTAGTCGAAGTCAAGGGGCTGTTGCCCTGGCTGGGTGGCTCAGTTGGTTGGAGCGTTGTCCTGTACACCAAAGGGGTACAGGTTCAATTCCTGGTCAGGGCACATACCTAGGTTGCGGGTTCGATCATGGTTGCGGTACATATGGGAGGCAGCAGATCAATGTTTCTATCTCACATCAATGTTTCTCTCTCTCTAAAAATCAATAGACACATATCCTTGGGTGGGAATTAAAAATGATGACCTGTGTCTAGGACACTGAGTTTTTTACTTTATTTAATTTTAACTGTAATTTAAACAGCCACATGTCGCTGCTGGCTGCCACACTGAAAAGTACAAGACTCGAAAATACACTGGACGGTGCTCCCCCGACACACTGTGATCAAACACAACGCAAGGAGGACTGACGCCCAGCCTCACAGTGCTGGCCGGTGGGGGACCCTCCCAGCCTGTCCACTCTGTGGTTCTCATAATTCTAGGTGCTTAGCCCCCCACATATGCTGGCCGTTCTCCCCGGGCTCAGGGGCAGTGAGGGGAGGAGTCAGGGCCCACTTCAGGTGGGCTGCTTGGCTCGCAGGGCCTGCCCTGGACACTGCCTCCCCACCTTGTTTTCAGAGTTGATGCATAAACAGCTGGTCTGCAGGCTGGGTTTTTGTCTGCAGGGAAAAAAGGGTCAATATCTGAATGTGGCCCATCTGTGGCCCCAAATCTCTAGAAGACCTACGCAGCCCCCCAGGAAGCCAACAGGGAAAACCGCGGCTCCCTTAGCCATCGGCTAAAACAAAGAGCGAGCAGGTGAAGGGTTAAACTCCAGCGTAAGTCTTCATTTGCAGCCACTAATGCCGCAGCATATTATGGTCTAATCTAAGCTGATCCCAGTTTAATGCAAGCCTCTCCCGGCCCTGCGCGGAATACCAAAGGAAGCCTCGGCAGCCGTGATTTAAGCAGAGCTCGCAGCGCTTTAGCTGAGGGACACGAAAGGCAAATTCCAGACGGTGTTATGAATTATTGCGCCTGATGAACCTTCCTACTCTCAACAGATGCCTGCTGCCATTTAAACAGCCACTAGATCAATTAGGAATGAAAGGCACAAATCGACTCTGTACAAGGGCACTAAATTACCAGGAACTAATAATCCGCAGCGACCAGGAACTAATAATCCGCAGCGCCGTGCCAGGTGGTGGGTGCACCCCGCCGGTCACCGCTGGTTCCCGTCTCTCGTCGGAGGGGGGTGGGCAGCTGCTGAACGAAGAGGGGGCGCCTGTGTGCACGTGTGTGTGTGTGCGCACCTGTCAGCGAGGCCAGTGGGAGTGTTGTGTACATGTGCTCTTGTGTGTTTGCATTGTGTGCACACACAGTGTGGGATGTATACAGTACGTGTGCATGTGGGTTGTGTGTTTCAAGGTGGAGTGCAGATTTTGTGTTCAGTGAATAGAGTGTGCATGTGCCCTACATTGTGGGCAGTGTGTGTGTATGTGCCATGTGTTGTGTGTGTGATCTGGGCGGGGATTCAGTATTCTGTGTACACAGCATGAACAGCGTGTGGGGTAGGGAAAGAAGGATCTACTGGTGACTGCATCCCTTACATACTAGCACTAGAGTTGGGATGGGGATGGGAGGGTGGTCCCCTCTGCCACTGTCCTTGCCCCTGCACGGAGGAGAGTGATCAGGGAGCGCCCCTCTGAGGAGGCGACATTTGAATGAAGCCTGAATGATGAGGAGGCAGTCATGCAAAAATCAGAGGGAGAGGCTTTCGGAGCAGAAAAAGCAAAGCGCCTGAGATAGGAATGAGCCTGGTGTGTTTCTGGAACAACATCCAGACGATGTGGCTGGAACAGGATAGTCAGGAGGGGATTGAGGGAGGTGAGGTTGGAGAGGTGAACAGGACTCAGATCACAGTCTCAGACAGAGCTGGGCCTTGAGCGGGGTACAGGTGGGGGTGCGGCTGGAGGCCTTGTCATGTACACTGGGCCACAGCACAGGTCCTTTTCATAAACCTCTCACTTCCAGGCATCAGATCTCCCCAGAATGTGTGTGTGGGGCATATCTGGGGGTGTTTTCTAGGGGCTCCTGCTATCTCTCAGAAGAAGGAAACATACTTCCCATCCCCCCCAAATTAATGAGGGCGACGGAGCACAGAACAGACTCCCGGAGTCTGGCATGGCTGCTTCTCTCCAGTCTCTCCTGACCCGAGCCAAACTCTCAGCTCCAAACCCTCCCTTCTCACATCCCACCCTCTCCAGGGTCCTGGCTGGGTTCCACCTACCCCACCCCCAGGTCCCTGAGCCCAGGAGATCAGATGGCACCTGAGCTCAGCCACAGGTTTCACATGGACTACACCGGGGTAGGGGCTGCCTGTGGCTCCCCTGATCTATCCACCTGGATCCCTCCGTAAATCCAGACTGTTCCCTGCTACCTCAAGCATAGGGACCGCTGAGACACTGCATCACCCGAGAACCAGGCTCAGCGTCCCAGTGACTCAGCAGGGTCTGTGGCTGCAGTCACTGGGCTTCTCCAAGGCTGTTCCCAGCCCAGGGCCCAGCCCCTCCCCAGCTGCCCAGCCTACAGCTGTCCAACTAAGGGTGGACCTGTATTTCAAACTACCCCCCAACATCACTGCCTAAGGCTAGAGATGAGGCTGGCAGCCCTAATGCAGGCTTGGGGAGGGACAGGACGGGGTGACTTGGGCAGGAACCCTGAGAGCTGGGTGTCTTGGTCAGCAGGGACATGAATGCCCCAGTGTGTGCAGGCATGGAAGGGGAAGACGGGTTTCTAGGGAGACACGGGATATGGTCCCTGAGCTTCAGTGTGTCCTGGTGTTGCTGTCCAGATCTCCCCCATCAGAGAGATAGAAGTAGGGACCTGGAAACTCGGTCCCAGGCCCGGAAGATGAGGAACAAGATGTGAGAGATGGCCGCTGGATTTTATTTCCAGAGGACACCTGACCTCCAGAGGAGCTCACCTGCTCTCGCTGCTCTCTCCCCTCTTCTCCCTGTCGCCTCCGCCTGACCGCCCCCTCCACCACAATCTCTCTTAAGCCGTTCAAAATTTGGAGGAAATAAATCTCACCGCTCAATTCAGGGAGAGCTTGAGCCTCGTCAGTGCAGAACAAATAGAAGGAGGGAACCTGCATGACATTTCACTGAGGAAGAGAGGTCGTTTCCAGCCACTAATAAAAAGGATTTGACACAGACTAATAAAGAGAAATGAATTTCTCTAATGGCCTAATTTAGCACACTCAGCACTGTACCCGCTCCTGGGCGCCGGGAGGGGGGGCAGAGCCCCAAGCAGGGAGCCGCATGGCTCCAGGGCGGGCAAGAAGAGATGATCTCAAATAACATTTTATTATTTCTTTTTTCTTTTCCGGGTCCCCACCCCCACCCCACCCTCATCACCTCTCCCAGGAGCATCTGAACCAAAATCAAGCTCAAGATACGCACTTCCTGTTAACAATCCAGGGAAGCGGCCTCTCGCAGCCTCGCAGCCCTGCGCTGGCTGCAGCAGTGATTAAACCCGATACGTTGATTTCTACAGGGGTTTAAGCCATCATTTGGTTTAATT